GCTAGGCACTACATAACCCCTACTTTCTTTTATCTCTAGTAAGTTTTGAACCAAATTTTTGTGTGAAAGTCTTAATCACTTACCAAGTGTGTTAAACCTAAACGGAATGGGTTGCTAAGTTGATTTTAGTGTCCATTTATCACAAACATAAAATAATCAAATATGAACCAATATAAAAAACACCAGGTTTTTACATGGTTCGAAAAAATGCCTACATCTACGAGACCAAGTCCAAAATGAAGCAAATCCACTATGGTATAATTTTCAGTTTAATTACAAAGCCAAAGATTAAGCCTCAATTGCAAGAGCACTCTTTATTTTGCATTGATTCAATCTCCACCCCCCTTTGGTCAAACTACGTACTACCACAGCAAGCTCCAAGAACACGAGACCCCTTGGTCAGCTTTGAGCTTCTCTCAAGGTACAACACTAAAGATCCACTTCAATTGAATCAGCTCAACAGGCTTCTAGAATGAACTACCTAACCAACGTAGAAGAAGGAACAAAATCAAGGTATTTTGATGAAGGTATTTATAAGCCTACCTAAGCATAGAAACCTAATAAAAAACAAAAGAAACCTTTAAGAATATTCAAAGTACTTTCAAGGAAAAATCAAGCTTCTTGAATGAAATTGCATTGAAGAAGAGTTTATATAGAAAATATCTAGCCAATGCAAATGGACAGGTGGCCAACAAGAAAACTTTATGGTTTCAACTTTATGAAAAAGTTTATTCCATTTCTCTCGGAACCACCGACCATTGTAAACAAACTTTCCAGCTCATTGAATAACAAATTGACAAGTTTTATGGACCACAAACAATATCTCACAAAGAGAATAAAGATAGCTCATGAGAATATTGAAATGCAATACATGGTTAAACAAAATATCTACCAGATGTGTGTGACCACTCAGACTCTGAGGTGCTAATACGATATAATAGAAGTCACACTGGAAAGTAAACAAAAATGATTATGCAGAGGCAAGACGATGTCATGACCTCATAGATCAGTGTTCTCACACTGATTTCATAATTTGACAAATAACTTACATTGTGCTTAAGTTCTTTAAGGCCATTGTAATGGAAATGGCCAAACCTTTTGTGCCATAATTCTGATTCATCTATGCTAGCAGACAAGGCCTAAACTTCTGGTTTTTTGCACTCAACAGGGAAGCTTTTTTCCATCATCTTCACCCTCATCAACTCACTACCTTCATTGTCTAATATTGTATATGATAGATTTTGAAAATATAGAGAGTAATTTCTCTTTAACATTTGTCCTACACTCAGTAGATTTTGATTGATTTCAAGCACATATAAAACATTAGGAACATATTTAGTACTTGTTGGGGTTTGGACAGCAACTTCACCTCTTCCTTTGACCTCTACAAAGTCTCCATTTCCTATCTTTGCTTTGGCCTGGTATGATTGATCCAAGTCCACGAAATTGTTCAAGTCTAGTGTAATATGGTTGGTGTAGCCATTGTCAATTAACTAAGTTTTTTAAGTTGCATAGCAGGAAGCCACAACCAATTGTTCAGACTCTTGACTTTGTTGCTAGTTTTCTACCACTTGTGCTTGCTGTTGTAGCTGATCTGCTTTATTCTTGCAAAGTTTCTCTATGTAGCTAAACTGTTTGCAGGACCTACATTGTATGCCAGGTCTAAACCAGCAATGATTCTCTGCATGGGTTCTCTTCTTGCAATGTGAACATGGAAGAATTGTTCTTCTTGCTCCATTCTTTCCTCATTGATTGTTAGCTTTTTCCTTCCCCTTTCTATCTCCAGCATATTTCTTATTTCCTCCCCGAATAGATTTCCCTTTGTGTGCAGCCATCATTGCTCCCTCATTGCTGTCTTCTTGTCTCAACGGTCTTCTTTGTTCTTGAGGTTATAAGGCATGGACAAGCTCTGTAAGGGAAATCTGTGAAAGGTCTTTTGAGTCTTCAAGAGATGAAATTTTGGACTCAAATCTTTCTGATAGACTTACAAGCACTTTCTTTACTATCCTCATATATGTCAACTCCTCACCAAGTAATCTAATTTTGTTGACAACATTCATGAGTCAGTCAACAAGTCAATCAACATACTCCTTGACTAACTCAGCTTCTTACATCCTTAACACTTCAAACTCCCTTCACAAGTTCAAAACTTGCATGTTCTTGGTCTTATCACTTCCCATATACTCATCCTTTAGCTTATCCTAAGCTTTTTTTGTTGTATCACAAGCCATAATCCCTGTGAATACTTGATCTGGGACAGTTGAGTGGATATGGGATAGAGCTCTTGGATCTTTTGCAGTCTCTTCTTCATGGATTATGATATGGTTTAACGTGGGTTTTGGGCCTAGTTGAGGTGGCTGCTTCTCTTCCTTCACATATTGCCACAGACCTTGGCCTCTTAAGTAAGCTTTCATTTTGACAGCCCACATATGGAACTATTCTCTATTGAAAACTGGCGAAGTAAGTGAAGTTGTGTTTGAAGCCATAAAGATAATTTTATAAAGGATTGACAGGGAAGTCTTTTAGTAAGAGAAGAGTTGAAGAAGATATGAGAAAGATGAACTCCACAAGTCCCTTAAGATCTCGATGAGTTGCTCTAATACCAAATGTTGGTTTTTAGCCAAAGAATGCAAAGGAAATAGTTTTTTGAGAGAAAGTTTTTTGCTGGGAAATTATCTGCATATTTCATTAACATAAACATAACTTATACAAGAGTTTTGGTAACTGTTACACCTCACTTGCAGAAGATATTTCAACATCTTTGAATGACAACCATACACAATAAACTAAACCAAGTATATTACATCATAATGGTAATAAATCACCAGCTGCTTTCACCTAAAACTATCAACTTAATCTTTCAAAAAGTCAGCCCAATTCAATTGCTCCCAAGCTAACAAATTTGAAACATGGAACTTGCAACTTGGCACCAAAAACTTGCAGCTTCAACCAACAAACTCTTCTTCATATTTGTTAGGGAGAAAGTTGTAGATTTAACTCACTTTAGAGTGTGGTTACCCATTTTTGGTGCAGCAGAATTATTACCAAGTAGATTAAAACATTTCCAATTTAAACACATCAAACACAAGTATGGAAAATAAAGAGCACAGCCATAGACATGGTTCGACTAAATCCACTTTTAGCCTACATCCATGGGACCTTGTCCAGATCAAAGAAATCCACTAAGTTAAGAAACATATTATAAGATATAGTTCAAAGTCGATATAAGATACAGTAAAAAGAACTCCCTGTTCAACTTTACACTTAGAACCATACTCTGAATCTTTAACGTGTAGCAACTACTTGGACCTTCTTCACTTCAGGAACACACTCAAGAGCTTGTGAACCTCCAAGCTTCAAGCATCGACGCCACGCACCAGTATAAGCAAAGGAACCATGTTCCAAGAGTCATCAAGTCTATGTTTGATATGGTGAGGTTTTGGCACATAATGGAAATGAACCTTTGAACCTTAAGAGAAAGAATACTCTCAGAATTTCAGAGTACAATGAAACAAAATATCAAAATGTTAGATCCATGCACACAAGAAAGGATATTATAGAATGAAGGGTTTTTTGCTCAACACATATGTCCCACATTAGCCAACAAGGGGCTGACCCATGTTAGTCCAAATAAGGAAAGTATTCATTCTTTTGGTTTGGACCACAAAACAAAACGGAAAAAGAAACTTTATTCCCTTGCGCCACTTAAGGATACTATGACACATGTAAAAAGGTCCTAAAGTGTGAGAGACAAAGATAAAAAATATCTTTTTCACTTTATCAAACATGCAACTTGTGCTGGGTTGCAAAAGTCTGAAGCGAGAGTGTAAGCACAAATTGTTGTGCACACACACACTCTAAATGGAACAAGCCAAGACACAAGCCTGACAACCAGTGTGTACGTAGAACTTATGTGCACACACACAACAAATGAAACAAGCCAAATCATTAGATTGGCAACAAATGTGCACACATAACTGTTGTGCACACACATAACTTATAAGTTTGACAAATATGAGTTTTTCACAATATTTCTAGCAAAATATCATCAGCTTCAAAAGTATGCAATAGGAAGCTATTGTGAGGCCACTTTCTGATATTGTTGACGTCGATTTTTGGGCACTATCAATCACTATAATTGAGTTAGGAAGGAGTCATCGAATCTTTAACTTTAGGCTAACAAATGGGGAATGTTGTTGAGAGGTAGGATAGGTACTCTTCTCCTCCTAAGCTGTTTCAAATATACATGCAAAATGAACAAACAAGTTTCAATGGGAGCCGACAAGGGTTTGCTAACATGTACCATTTGAGGCTCAAGTAAGCTTAGCGTTCACTAAAATCTTTGGATTTCAGATAATAGATGATGGTTACTATTGATAGGAAAGGAAAAAGGACAATATAAATATTTTCTTTGGCAGTCTTACAAATTATTGTTACCATTGGACGCTGTATGTGCCCTCTTTCTATTTATGATAATCTTGAAGTTTAGTGCTGGGCTAATCAAGGAAACGTGTCTTATAGCGAATTGAATTGTTAACCCCCGTAAAGATACAGATTGTTGACTTGACATTAAAAAATAATTACATCTAACTTATTGGTGTCCAACATTGAACTGTGAACCTTCATTTAAAGGTCCACTTCTAAGAAGCAAACAAAGTTGCTGAAACATAAGCTCTACAATCTCAAGGGCTACAAGTGCAACAAAAAAAGAAGAAACCAAAGTGAACTTCTGCTAAACCCCATTCAATATAATGATCCTAATATTCTATAAATTGTCTCATATTCTTAATACAACTTTGATAACTTCCCAAATATTACAAGTCTTATTGTTGTTTGCAGCTGAAAATGTGCCAACATATATTAATTATGACTTCTTTTCACCTCCCATCTGATATTATGTCAGTGAGCTGAATGACATCTCCTGGGGAGAGCAATGGATCAACTCCATGGCGAAGAACAGTTGGATTGTTAGATTCACTTTTCTTATTCCCATAGATTTTTTAAGATGAAGTTGCAACACTATCTTCATTATTAACAAAGTCACTTGTTATGTCCTTAAAATTCCAGTCAGTCAAATAACTTGGCTTGGAAGTAACAGTGCCCACTTCTATGTCTCCAGCAAGCATGGCCAAAACTCTTGACATGGGTGGCCGCAACATTGGTGATGCCTGAGTGTACAACAGCCCAACTCCAATTATTCGAAGAGCTTCAATTTCATTAAATTCGGTTAATGTGGGATTGACCAAACCCAAACTTCGGTTATTTTCATGAAGATTCCATGCCTATAAATATCATGTAAAGAAGACCATTTGCAAGGAGAAAAATGAGTTTGTCTAATTTAGTACACAGGAGAAAGCAAAGAAAATGAAACAGAGTTGAAGTTTATTCTTTACCCATTCAAGAAGATAAATTTTTTCAGTGTCCAATCTATTGTCAGAGTTTGCTCTTCCACTGATAATCTCCAAAGCAACAACACCAAAACTGAATACATCAACCTTTTCTGTCAGGTGTCCACGCATTGCATACTCTGGCGCCAAATAGCCTCTGCAAGTTGATTGACAATAGTTAAAGGTTAAAATTCCAAAGTCTGGATATGTAAATTAAATTAAATTAAATTATAAGATTAAACTTTCACTGAGTTCTTATACATGCTTTCAATGTGAAAAAATGGTTGAAGGAGCTTACATGGTGTCTACAACTCTGGTGTTGATGTGACTTATCTTGTCATCGTACAACTTTGCCAATCCGAAATCTGAAATTTTGGGGCAGAGTTCGGCATCAAGTAAGATATTACTTGCTTTAACATCTTGATGTACAATCTTTGGTCTTGATTCCTCATGAAGATAAGCTAGACCTTTTGCCGTTCCCATGCATACACTAAACCTGGTAGGCCAATCAAGATGCAACTCACTATTTCCTGCAGAAATGGTAGCTTCATTAGTTGAAACTTCAAAGAGTAGTTAATATCTATTGAATTGGGAAATTTAGGATTCAAGGATAATATATTTTAATTAAGGAGAAATTTGGAGCTTTCAAAACATTGTTGTACAGCCCTAAGGAAATATATTGCTTCTTCTAAGTGGTTTAGTTTCATAATATGAAACTTGGACTCATTAAATTTATATTTTGTACCAATGAATATATAATCATAATGTGCATTCTCATACCGAACAACACTTGATATATGAAGGCATTTCGTTCCTTCAATGCAGCAACCATATAGTCTCACAAGATTACGATGTTGCACTACAAAGATGGTGGCGATCTCATTTATAAACTGAGTTTTCCCTTGGTGAGATCCCACTGAAAGTTGCTTTACAGCTATTATTCTTGCATCCGAAAGTGTACCCTGTGAAGAACAATAGCTAGTGAAAATTGACATACAACTTCCAAGGTAAAGTAATGATTTACTTGAAAGATATAAGTTACCTTGTATACAGGTCCAAATCCTCCCTCTCCGAGCTTATTTGAAGAGTCGAAGTTATTTGTTGCAGATCTCAACTCAGCATAACTGAAAGTGTTTTGTTTAGGACCTATCGCTTGTAGCACTGCATATTCAAACTCAAAATAAATGGATTTTCTTGAATGGGAGACCTTAATAGTATTTCTATAGACAATTCCATAGCATTAGTCACATAACACTGAAGTATTTATATTACAAGATGTTACTACCTATTAAACAATTTCTCATGGAATGCAAAGAATCCTGTATTTGAAATCTAAAGTTGTGTTGCTTAACAAAATGTGCACAAGTAAGTGAGCAGTGTAGCAACTGCTATGTATGATTTTTACACCATCTATGGTTTCCTTACCTTCCTGATCATAACCATCTTTTTTCCTTATGTAAAAAACTGTAAATATCAGTATGAAGAGCAGAATTCCCAAAGGGACTGCAACACCAACAATTAACCCTGTCCAGTTCTTTTTGTGTATAGCATTTGGCGGTATTCCGCTCACAGTTGGTACAAAATCTGAATTCAGTTAGTAGTGGTAAGAAGCAGATAAGCAAATGTAGTACAAGTCATCTTAAATGAAGATGAAAAGGAATCACAAGTTTCACCTGGAACGACGCTAAGAGCCAAAATTGATGGTCCATAATCGCCTTGTTTAGGTATGCAGCAAGTACCTTTACCAGCCCAAAATAGGTGAATTTCAAGATTGTTCTCAAACACAATAGCATTGAAATTCTTTGTAATTGCTCTGTTAACACCGCCTGCCTCCTTTGATATATCAAAATCCTTTAACTTGAGAGTTCCTTAGAGGACAATGTGGGAGTTAGAAATCATATTTCTCAACTCAATTGAAGTATATGGAATTGAAATAGTGGAATCTATGTACAATATTAATATGACCTCACGACAAGTTCACCTGAATATAGATATCAAAAACACGCCTACCAAGGCTCTTCCATGTCTGTGAGCTTCGATCATCAAAAACTGTTTCGGCAAATAACAAGCTTATATTATAATGACCATTCTCAAGACCAAGGCCATAGTATCTAAGTGATCCTGGGGATAGTCTTGAAGTTTGATAAAGCTCTGGCGTTCGAGTTCCGGTCACTTGTACAAGTGTATTTTGCACGTATGATGGATCTTCTCTATCAGAAAACAACCCCACATTACTAACTGCCCATTTTTCTGTACTCGTTACATTAAATGAAGCTGCACTGAAAGATGTGTTCTCAGTCTCATAAACTATGTTATCAGATATCATCTTTTTACCACTACACTTGATTGCAAAATTTGCATCTGAAAATACGAAGATTAAAAAGTATTAATTTTAATAACAGCATTTAAGTGCATTTTGACACTATATTATTGAAAAAGAGTTAAATAGAAGAAAGAAAACGGCCTACAGCGTGGAGTATTCCTATTGCAAAGGAAGTTTCTCTGAAGACAGTTCAATCCAGGGAAGACACTGGCAAGCACATAAAACATCACTGCTTATTTATATTGAAGATTCAAAAAGCAATGTGATAATTAATATGCAAAAAATATGACACTTTATTTATCAAAAAAGGAATTCTAGCTCACCTACTATTTGAGCTGTCAAATGCGAAGTTGTTAGCCACCAGATTCCTATATAATTCAAAGCAGCGATCAAATGTATTCCAAAATCTGAAGTATTCTTGTTGTTGAAGTATAGATGCAGGGATTATATAACAAGGGCATTATGAAATGTGTTATGCTTTATTCATGTTATCCCAAATGGTTAATGTTGATGTTTGATTTTGACACCAACGAAACGCACGTGTGAAATGCTGAGTTGGCCCAGAGGACAAACGTGAATGTAAGAAAAAATGAGTAAATGCAGTGAGAAGAGTTTTAAAGTGGTTCGGATGCTTTAAGGAAGCAAGTCCTACGTCCACTGATGTGTATTAATGATAGCGATCTGGTCGTGGTCAGCGAAGTGACTTTACAAGTGATTTTACAAGTGAGAGAGAGAGAGAGAGAGAGAGTATAAGCATTTCTTTGAGAGATTAGCTAATCCCCTAAATGAGAAAAGAGCTCCCAATTTATAGTGGGATGGTTTAAGGTTATCATTACTGAATCTGTGAGTTGGTAGGATTATCTGTGCAAATCTTTCTTTATGTCACATTACCTAACTTTTAGAGTGATTCACGCGATTTGTTGCAGGGATTGGACACATGGACATCCTCTATCCTTTCTTCAGTCTGGCGCGCACCCACTGTACTGACAGGAGTGTGCTGCTTGCATCATCATGCGATGCGGCTACGCCAAAATGTTAGTGGGATCTTCCCAAGGTCTGATCACTCACACTGGCTGAGTGCCACGTCAGCCCTATTTTCCCAGGCATAACAGAAGTCCCCTAGTTTTTAAGGTTTGAGGATCAAACCTTGAAAACTATAAATGCCTTGATCTGATATGTTTGAAGAGATGTTGGTCGATCCGACCTGATTGTAAAGGAGATCGGGAGGACATTCCCATAGGTAGCTGAGAAGAATCTGCGACCTCAGGACCAGCGACCTGGCCTTGGGTACCCGATGCTAATGGTGACCCCAACCTGAGGAGATTCTCGACCTGTTCTTACTTGGTAATTTTAGGACAAATGGCCATGTTGCTTCACAGCAGGCGTCACATCGCTTCACAATTGTCACGAGATAGGGCCGACCAATCAGGTCACTTCGTGGCTAATGAGATCCGAAGAGTCGCGTCGCCTCGTAACTGGCGACGAAGAATGTTACTGGTAACGACCTCTTCAAATATCTGTTGCATTTTCAACAGTGAGCGCATTAAATGAAATGCTCATTGCTCTGACAGACGTGTCCTTTGCGCAATAAGTGCCAGTTATACGCATTAAATGCAAAACATGCTGAAACGACATTCTTTATCAGGGCATTGAATGCGGCAGTGGGTGCATTAAATGCGGAAAAGGGAAAGTCATGCCGTCACTTGAGCGAGAGGGGGTGACGGTCTGGTTTCCTGAGGCGTGATGGTCACTCTTCCTTGTTGATTCATGACACGTGGTCACGATCAACGGTTAGATGCGTTTTCCGCTCAAACGTCGTTTGATTTCGGGAAACCAAAGCGCCACTTCCTCCATTATAAAACCCCAAACTCTTTTCAAGCGAAGTCACAACATTTTCATTATCAGAGAACAAGAAACTTCTGCCGATATTGAATCCTCGCTTTTCAGAGTGGCGTTTGTCCGATATTTGGAACAGAAGAGTCGATCCTTCTCATTTTCAGAGGTAAAGATGACTTCTTTTTTATCTTTAATGTCATTAGCTTTTAACAGCCACTATACGGTGGCTGTCCATCGATAGCTTATCGGAGGTGAAATGTTCTCTGTCGGGCTGGAGTTGTTGAAGGCTTTAAGCATACTGTTAGGGTTTTTATGGGTTTGAGGAAAACTTTTCGTCCACGTCATCATACGAAAATGTACGAAGACTGAATAGTACCCTTTTGTCACTTTTGCAGATTACAAAAATGGACCCCCTAACGACCAAAGCCAAGGGAGGGGCTGACTTGCCCGAAGAGGGTGCTCTCGCGGGCCCCCTTCGAGGAATTTATTCAGCGCTTACCATTGACGAGCGGCGAAGAGTAGTTGACCAGTTCGCTGTCAGGGTAGATGTCTTCCATGAAAGGGCGTATACTGCCCAAGATCCACCACGTGGGTTTGCTGCGATCTCCGAAGATATCTTTAAGGGTGGTGGGTTGATTCCTTTCCACCCTTTCACCAGGTCGGTCCTCGATCACTTTGGGATCGCGTCGATGCAGCTTACCCCAAACGCGTACATGATCGCCATCACCATGTACATCGCATGTCGGGAGAATGAGCTGGACGAGCTAACCGCGGTTGAGCTCAACTGCTCTTATATCTTGAAAAAGAGTAAGGACAAGGATTCCTGGTACTTATCCAGACGAAACACAATACAGGCTGGGATACATAGCTATCCGAGCAATGCAAGAGCATATGACGCAAAGTTTTTCTTTTTTTGCTATGACGACATCAGTCGTTTTCAGGATCCGAGTAGGCTCTCTTTCTTTCTGAGCTTAACTCGTTTTTTGCTTTTTGCTAACGAGCCGTTTGCTTTCCTTGACAGTTAACTTAACGACCAGTCTAAACCTGCTCGCGGACCCGGATAGGATCATAGCATTTGGCTTTCTGCCCAGAGAGAGACGCGATGCAAGGTTGCTCGTGACAACCGAAAATTTATGGAGGTACGGCTTTTTCAACGAGTCCGCAGCGTTAGAGCCCCTACCGAGTAAGTTTCGACTGTCTTTTTATATATATATATTTTTGTAATGAACTATTTTACTAACGTTCGCATGCAGCGACCATGCCTCCTCGAGTGTCCAAGTCACCGTGAGCAAGACAATTTTCTTTTCCCCGGAGGCATACCACCGGACCCGCTGGAGCTGATCCCAGCAGACCTGTCAGAGGAACACAGGCAGGTGCTCCGGCCCGACCTACTGAAGTTCCTCCTCCCGCTGTTCACCCGAAGCAAAAGACTACGACTTCGAGGCCCAAGAAAAGACGGCAAATCCGGACCGAAGAGGGGAATCCGAGGGGAAAAGAGTGGGCATTCAGCCCGAGAGGTCGTAGCCTTACCGAGCGTTCAGCCTGGGAGGGCTGCCTAGAGGCACGATTGGCATTTCCATCAGCCAGCCGATGCGACCTGTAGCCATAGTCCCCGGGAGGAGGTTGGGCAAAGAACCCGCGGGACAGGCTCTACCCGTCGAGGGTGTCAACACGCCTATGTTGGAGTCAATGGCTCATCTCCCGGATCATCTGCAGCCAGTGGTACTAACACTCCTAGAGTGCAGACTAGCGGACTCGTTTGAGCAGTTTCTGACATCCAGTTCTACCGAACTGCTGTCCACATCGTTCCAACTCTTTAGCCAGGTAAACAAGCTGTCCTGGTCGGGGATCTTTATTCGCTTTAAGAAATATACTAACTCTGTCTTATCGTGCATGCTTTGCTTTCCCTGCACATATCTCAGCAGAAGGCGCAGCTAAGGTCTGCTGAGCAATTGGTTGAGCTGCGTGAGGAGAATGCTCGGCTCGTACAGGAGTTGGAGGCTGCACGAGCTGACAGAGATTCGTCCATTGCTCAGGCAGACCAATTCATGTCTGAAATGGACACTACTCGCCGCACAATGGACTTCCAGAAGGCCGAACTGGACAGGAAAGGGCCAACCTATGGGAGGCTACTGAAAAGCAGCAAACAGAGCTTGAGGCCACACTTCACTTCTCTCAGGGTTGCATTGCTTCGCTAACCGTGGAGATGGAAAGGTAGGAAGCGGAAACGGAGAAGAGGGTTGTAGACTAGACGATCAAGTCCATCTTCGCTCTTTAGGCGAAGAACCCTGAGATGGATCTGTCTAATCTTCCTGGTGAGTATCAGGATGAACTGGCTGCCCTGGCCCAGGCTGAAGCTGAGGAGACAACCCAGGGACTTGATCCAGAAGACCATCCGGAGTATGTCCCAGAGATGGTCGTGCCCGAATAGGAAGTCGGCGACCAACCTAGGAATATAGAGGTCGCTCCCCCAAGTCCTGGGAACGAGGATCAGTGATTCGTCCTTGTAGCCCTTATCCTACTTTGTGTACCTCCCCTTTATTATGAATAAAAATCGCTTTTAATAAATTTTCAGTGCTTGGAAATTTTGAGTACCCTCTATTACATATGAGATGGCATAGTAACTGCTTACAATTACATTGGAATAAGTCTATGCGAACATAATTTTATACTAACAGAATTGCATATGTAAAGCGAACTGAATTATGTAAAGCGAACCGAATTACAAGTTATTTACAAAAGTTTGCGAAAAATAAGTTTTACAAGGAAACTAAGTTCGGAATTACTGATAGTAAGGTCGAAGATGTTCAGCATTCCAAGCTCGTGGTACTATGGAACCATTTAGCCTTTTGAGGTGGTAAGTCCTCGGTCTTATCACTTTGGCGATGCGGTATGGGCCCTCCCAGTTTGGTCCCAAAACTCCCGCACTTGGTTCTTTAGTACCGAGGAGAACTTCCTTCAATACAAGGTCGTCGACCTGGAAGTCTCTTCGCTTGACCTTAGAATCGAAGAACCTTTTTCGCGGTTTGTTGATAGGTTGCTATTCTTAGCGAAGCCTTGCTGCGTCATTCTTCAACAAGGTCCAAACTTGCTCGCATAAGCGCTTCGTTGTCCGCTTCATTGTAAAGGTCCCTTTGAAGTGAATCGGTTCCTACCTCCACAGGGATCATTGTTTCGCAGCCATAGGCTAGCGAAAAGGGAGTTTCTGAGGTAGAGGTTCTCGAAGTTGTTCTATACGCCCACAGGACTTTGGGAAGGTCATCGGCCTAATTTCCCTTGGCTGTGCCAAGTTTGGCCTTTAGAGTGTGCTTGATGGCCTTTAGAGTGTGCTTTATGGTTTTGTTGACAGCTTTAACTTGACCATTTGCTTGCGGTCTTACGACAGAGGCAAATTTTTTATGGATACCCAGCTCGTCGCAAAACTGCTTGAACTCCTCGTTGTCAAATTGTTTACCATTATCTGAGATGAAAGTATGAGGAATCTCGTATCGGCACACAATGTTCTTGAAGACGAAGTCCTTGAGTTTTCTGA